TTGAAATTTTGGGAAAATGAGTTTCTAACCTTTCTCTTCACATGTAAAAAGTTTCAAATTTTTCCGTTCCCTAGTTTTCCAGGAAAACTTTGAAATGTGTGAGACGATATTTTCAACTAATTCAGTTTTTGTAAGTTGATTTCCAAGATTTTCGATTTTATTTTTCGCTGGAAAAATTTGAAATTTTGGGAAAATGAGCTTCTCAGCTCCCTTTCCACAAGCAAAAAGTTTCAAATTTTTCCGTTTACTAGTTTTCCAGGGAAACTTTAAAATGTGTGAGACGATATTTTCAACTAATTCAGTTTTTGACTTTTGTAAGTTGATTTCCAAGATTTTTTCATATTATTTTCCGCTGGAAAAATTTAAAATTTTGGGAAAATGAGCTTCTCAGCTTCCTCTTCAAATGCAAAAAATTTCAAATTTTTCCGTTCACTAGTTTTCCAGGAAAACTTTGAAACGTGTGAGACAGTATTTTCAACTAATTCACTTTTTGTAGGTTGACTTCCAAGATTCTTCACGTTGCTGTTTTTCACTGGAAAAATTTGAAATTTTGGGAAAATAAGCTTCATACCTTCCTCTTTACATGCAAAAAGTTTCAAAATTTTCCCTTCACTAGTTTTCCAGGCAAATTTCGGAATGTATGAAACTGTATTTTCAACTAATTCAGTTTTTGTAGGTTGATTTCCAAGGTTTTTCATGTTGTGGTTTTCTACTGGAAAAATTTAAAATTTTGGGAAAATAAGCTTCTCAGCTTCCTCTTTACATGCAAAAAGTTTTAAAATTTTCCCTTCACTAGTTTTCCAGGAAAACTTTGAAATGTGTAAAACTGTATTATTAATAATTAATTCAGTTATTGTAGGTTCATTTCTAATATTCCTTATGTTGTTATTTTCTCCTAGAAAAATTTGAAATTTAGGGAAAATGAGCTTCTCACCTTACTCTTTATATGCAAACAGTTTCAAAATTTCCCTTCACTAGTTTTCCAGGAAACTTTGATATGTGTGAGACTGTATTTTCAACTTATTCAGTTTTTGTAGGTTGATTTCGAAGATTTTTCATGTTGCTGTTTTCTACTGGAAAAATTTAAAATTTAGGGAAAATGAGCTTCTTACCTTTCTCTTTACATTTAAAAAGTTTCAAAATTTTCCCTTCTCTAGTTTTCCAGGAAAACTTTGAAATGTGTGAGACTGTATTTTCGAATAATTCAGTTATTGTAGGTTGATTTCCAATATTCCTCTTGTTATTTTCTACTGGAAAAATTTGAAATTTTTGGAAAATATGCCTTTAACCTTTTTATTCTTCACATGCAAAAAGTTTCCAATTTTTGCCTTCACTAGTTTTCCAGGAAAACTTTGAAATGTGTGAAACTGTATTTTCAATTAATTCAGTTATTGGAGGTTTATTTTCAAGATTCTTCATGTTGTTATTTTCCACTAGAAAAATTTGAAATTTTGGGAAAATCAGTCTCTGATATTCCTCTTCACATGTAAAAAGTTTCAAAATTTTCCCTTAATTAGTTTTCCAGGAAAACTTTGAATTGTGTGAAACTGTATTCACAATGACTTCAGTTTTTGTAAGTTTATTTCCAAAATTTTTCATGTTGTTGTTTTCCATTGGAAAAATTTGAAATTTTGGGAGAATGAGCTTCACCCCTTTCTGTTAACATGCGAAAAATTTCAAAATTTTCCCTTCACTAGTTTTCTAGGAAAACTTTGAAATGTGTGAGACTGTATTTTCAATTAATTCGGTTATTGTAGGTTGATTTCTAAGATTTTTCGTGTTGTTATTTTCCACTGGAAAAATTTGAAATTTTGAAAAAATGAGCCTCTGACCTTCCTCTTCACATGTCAAAGTTTCAAAATTTTCCCTTAATTAGTTTTCCAGGAAAACTTTGATTTGTGTGAGATTCTATAATCTATTAACATTTATTTCAGTTTTTGTAAGTTGATTTCCAAGACTTTTTATGTTATTATTTTCCACTAGAAAAATTTGAAATTTTGGGAAAATGAGCTTCTCTTCTTCCTCTTTACATGCAAAAAGTTTCAAAATTTTCCCTTCACCAGTTTTCTAAGAAAACTTTGAATTGTGTGAGACAGTATTTTCAATTAATTCAGTTATTGTAGGTTGATTTCCAAGATTATCCATGTTGTTATTTTCCACTGGAAAAATTCAAAATTATGGGAACATGGAGCTTCTCACATTCCTCTTTATATGCAAAAAGTTTCAAAATTTTCCCTTCACTAGTTTTCCAGGAAAATTTTGAAATGTGTGAGACTGTATTTACAATTAATTCAGTTATTGTAGGTTGATTTCCAAAACTCCTCGTGTTGTTATTATCTACTTGAAAAATTTTGGGAAAATGGGCTTCCCACCTTCCTCTTTACATGCTAAAAGTTTTAAAATTTTTCCTTCACTAGTATTCCAGGAAAACTTTGAAATGTGTGAAACTGTATTTCCAATTAGTTCAGTTTTTGTAAGTTGATTTCCAAGATTCTTCATGTTGGAAAAAAATTGTAACCAGGGAAAAATGAGCCTCTCTTTACATACAAAAAGTTTCAAATTTTTCCTTTGGAGCAATTTGCGGGAATTTGGAGGAATTTGCAGGGAATCTAGAGGAATTTGTGGGGTATTTGGAGAAATTTGTGGAGGGGTATTTGGAGGAATTTGTGATGGGGTATCTGGAGGAATTTGTGGGGAATTTGGAGGAATTTGCAGGAATTTTGAGGAATTATGCGTAAAAAATTCCCCTTTGAGGAATTGTTTGCACAAATTCGTCAAGTTCTGGGATAGTGGTTTACCCCTTGCTTTAATATTTTTAACACTAAAACTAGAGTAATGAAATTTTTTACACAAAATTGCCAACAATTCTTTTTCTATTTGAGCATAGTTGGTTTCACTTTTCGTCATACTTCGTGATGCGAAAGCTATTGGGTGCCCATTTTGAAGTAAACCAGACCCAATGCCGTTTGGTATTGATGGGTTGAAAAGTGCCAGAACTGGCGCGGTTGTCAATAAACGTTTTAAGTTTGATAACGATTTGTCATTTTCAATGGTCCATCTCCAGTCAATGTCTTTTCTTGTTGAATTACGGAGAAGAGCAGTTGCTTTGGACATGTTTGGGATAAACTTGCCCAAACATTTTGGGCATATCCGTAATCGCATTAATATAGGACTGACACGGTTTAACACCATCCTTAGAAAAAAACCTGGCCAAGATACTTCACTTCTTCTGACTTAAACTGAATTTTCGACATGTTAAATTTTGATGCTCTATCTAAAACGTTTTTCAGAATTTTCTCATTGTTCCAACTTTGTCTCCCCAGCAATTATCAAATTATCAAAATATATCTGCACTCCCTCTCTCAATATCCCTAATATCAATCAAAATTCTTTCGCTGACACTCTTCAGGGGCAGAACTAATACCCAATGGGAGTCGACAAAATTGGTAGCGACCGGAAGGTATGCCAAAAGTAAAATTGTCGGCTGTTTGATTATCAATTTTCACTTGAGTAGTAGCCATTTTTCATATATCTAATACAGAGAAAATGACTTTACGATTCAGTTTACTTTACTAGCCATTTCGTCGACTGTTGGAAATAAAAAATGCTCACACTGTATGTATTGATTCAAAAACTTTAGGTCCAGACACAACCTCAAACCACCATCTTTTTTTCTCAACAATAACTAAAGGATTTAACCAACCACTCAGTACGTTTTTTTAACTTTTCTTATAATCCCTTGAGCTTTAAGATACTTTAATTTATGTTTGACACGCTGGTGAAGTTCTTGAGGTATACGCCTGACTGCCTGAATATGTGGTATATAATCTTGGTTCAAAATGATCTTATGCTTATTTGGAAAACAGCATAATCCATTAAAAACTTGAGGATACATTTTCACAATATCCTGTATATTGTCAAAATTTAAACTACAATTATCAATTCTCCTAATTAAATCTAAAGCTAGACATCCTTCCAATCCCAGAGGCAACTGATTTCCACTATTAACCATTACAAAAGACAAGCATGCGAATTTATCCTTAATTTCACAATTTAAATTAGTTTCTCCAAGTGGTTTAATTTTAAAATCTAGGCTGCCATAAGAAATTAAAGTCCTATTGGACTTTTTCAATTCATAATGCTTGTTAATTTTTTCTAAAATTTTAAGGGGAATCACGCTCACCTCTGCTCCAGTATCAAGCTTAAACTTAATCGATTTACCTTCAACTTTTATCTGCTTGCACCACATAACTTTACTATTGGATTGAATACCAACCATTTTCACTAGAGAACTTACATAAAAATTGTCCCCTTCACTGCTCTAATTCTCATATTAAATTGTCCTCTGCTTTCACTTCAGTTACCCTTTTTCCTTCTTTGTTACCACGGATTGCATAAGCCTCCTTTCCATGCTGCTTTCTCCTACACTACCTAGATCTGAAAAACGTTACAATTTTCTTCTTAACTTACCATTCATGAAACCTTTTTGAGATTTTCCAGCTTCACTTTCATTGGTACAGAGGGGAAAAGTTGCACTACGGAAGTGAAAAATCTTGTTAAGTAGGCTCAAGAATAAATAGAATTTATTTTGTATGTTTGACATATTATACAAATGCAAAACCTCGTTTATTTCGAAAATCTGCTGAATAAATTGGAGATTTGTGATTTTTTTAGGACGCATCTTGTTAAGTATTTAATTCAGCAAATTTAGTGATCCTGTATTTTATACCGTTTCCAAAATCCCCCTGTAACTGAATTTATTTAATTTTGGATATCCTATAGGTACTGAAACAGATTGGAGTTTGAGTATCGTAAGGGGTAATTGCAGAGAACCTATTTTGTTCTGTTCTAAGCATTAAAACTGTGCACCGCAAAAATAATAGTACTGTATCGTCGTTTCTAGATAAATGAATCATTCTATTTTTATTGTTGTACTTATCCTTATTGCCTTAGTATAAACCAGTATTCCGAAAAATAAAAATGTTCTCTTTTTGTTTCAGCAAAGTATTCAGTCTCCGTGACCAGCGCCGGCCCCGTATGGCAAAACGCGCCTACCAGCCACCATTATCAAACCTTTCCAGGCAACCACCGTTGTCCACTACACGTATGAAAGGCTATAATTGCGGTGTTTATCGTCTTGCGTCGTTACGCAGACAGTTTTGCAGGGATCTGCAAGAATGGCCGAAAGTTTGGACACTAACGCTTCCCCAACCGCATGCCGAAACGTTAACGAAATAAGTAAAAATAGTGAAAGTGATCGTTGTTTACTCGTCGCTAAAAGCGGCGTTAAGGACGCGTCGATTCTGGTGCCCAACGGCACCAAAAGTCTTAGTAATAATAATGGGAAACGCATTTTGGAGTTGTATCGTAACGATAAAAATAATGAGATGAATCCAACCGAATCTGAACAGCTCCTCATCATGCCTACTCAGCCCAGTCCAGAAGACAAGCCAGTATTACATGTTCAGTTTAATCACATAGCTAGTGATTCATCAATTAAAAAAGATCCACCGTCACCTCCATTAACCTCATCAGAGGAGACAAGTTCATCATCAAGTTCGTCCTCTTCCAGTGAATCTCTGGAAATTGCAGAAGCGAGACCTCCAGATGGAGGTTGGGGTTGGATGGTAGTAGGCGCTTCATTTTTTGTTAATCTCATAGCAGACGGAATAACGTTTAGTTTTGGTGTGATATTTGTGGAGTTTTTAAATTATTTCGGTGAAAATAGAGGTACCACGGCATGGGTTGGAGGATTATTTATGGCCATGCCTTTACTTTCAGGTCCAATAGCTAGTTTTTTGACAGATAGATACGGTTGTAGAAAAGTAACGATTTTTGGTGCGCTGTTGGCTTCAATAGGGTTTATAATAAGTTCTCAAGCGAATAGTATGTTGGTTCTGTGTATTACTTTTGGAGTTCTAGCCGGCTTCGGACTAAGCTTGTGCTATGTAGCTTCAGTTGTAATAGTAGCCTACTATTTTGACAAAAAACGTTCATTTGCCACTGGTCTAGCTGTTTGTGGTAGCGGTATCGGCACATTTATATTCGCCCCGTTAATCCAGAAGCTTTTAGAAGAATATGGTTGGAGAGGTACTACTTTGATTCTAGCTGGTCTATTTCTAAATATGGTCGTTTGCGGATGTTTAATGAGAGATTTACCGTGGACATCTGAAAAACAAAAATCCTTGGCCAAAGAAAGAAAGAAAAATAGACATATGAAACGTAAAAATAGATTAATGTCGGCAGACTCGTTTTCAATTAGTACTGGAACTTGCACAGCTAGCGTTCTCCAACCGATTATAGAAACTAGTGAGGAAAATGAATTTGATATTCCAACAAATAGATTGTCTAGTTCTGTAGTCCATTTACCAACGTACATAAGAGACGGTGAAAAAATCCCCGAAGAAGTCTTAGAACTGCTGGCGGGCAATAAAAATATCTATAGCATATTGCTGACCAACTATCCGAACCTGTTGGCACCTTCAAGGAGTTTTAGTGATGCCGGTAGATTGAATGAAGCAGCTGTTGCCTTATCATCGAAACACGCAAACACTACAACACAACTTTCACCTCCCACAGTGTTAACGCCCAGAGACGATGCTTATTGGTTGAAAAGAAATCCGACTACTTCAACGCCAGCTTCGCCAACTAAAAAGGCGCCGCCGCCAACTAGTATTAGAAAGTTGCCAGGAACTGCTTTTTTGAAAGATGTTAGGATTCATAGGTAAGAAATTTATTTGTAGATTGAAATGTTGATGTCTATTGTTTTTTACTCTTTGTACAAGGCCAGCGCAATACTTATTTATCTCGATCTCTCTCCTAGGGCTTTGACCATGTATTTTCAGTTCCTTCGACTGTACTTTGTTCTCTCTCGTTTCGGTTAAGACCGTCTTTGGCACCTGTCAATAGTCCAAGCTTTTCTATGGTTTCTTTGCCAGAGCAGTAATACAAAAAATAATGTCAAAATAGCTTCAAGCTTTGTAATGATGTAGTACTGAGGACGGGGCTCAAACCAATAAATTGAAAATTACTTTTCTTTAGGTTATCAGTAACCTACAGAGGTGCCATGTTGAATTTGAAGCGATACCGTTTGCGGGCCAGCTCGTGTCCTGACATCTACAGGAACTCTATGACTACCATAGCCCAGGAAAAAGTCCAATGGTACGCCGGACTGTGGGACTTCTGGGACCTTTTGGTAGATATGTTCGATTTTTCCCATTTCGCCGATCCGAAGTATCTGGTGTTTGCCTTGTCCAACTTTCTTTTGTACACTTGGTACGACGTGCCGTACGTGTACTTGACGGACAACGCCAGCAAGTTGGGTTATTCGGACGAAGAAGCTTCGATTCTGATATCTATCATTGGGATTATCAATATGGTTGGTGAGGTAAGAACTTCTCAAATTATAATAATTGGATCAAGGTTAAGATTTATATTAATAATATGTAGTTTTTTATTTGCTTAATTATCACAATAACATCTGTTTCTAAAAAGCACTAAACTTCAATTTATAAGAATAAGCCTATTTGCAAATCCAAAAATATTTTACTTCACTGTACGTTTTCCAGATTATCCTTGGATGGGCAGGAGACCGTTCCTGGGCTAATGCCAGTATCATCTATGCAATTTGCATGTGCCTCTGCGGCGGTGTCATAGCCCTGATTCCGTTAATAACTGACTACTCCATGCTCTGTTTGGTTTCTGGTGGTTTTGGATTCCTTATAGCTGCCAATTACTCATTAACGTGCGTCATACTGGTTGAACTTATTACTCTGGATCGATTTACGAACGCCTACGGATTACTGCTGTTGGTACAAGGATTTGCGAACTTGATAGGACCACCGTTGGGAGGTAAGGAACTTTTATTAATATTATTATTTTGTCCAATAACAGGCGGTAGAGACCGATGAGGCTATTGCTAAATTGTCTTCACGAAGTATACGTATTGTATATTAAAAAAGTTCTATGGTCCATAATCGATTAGTCTTGAGAAAGATTCTTGCATCTCTTGATCAAGTCTGTTTTTAAACTGATTCACACTAGACACACCAACTGTATCCTCCACGAAAGAGTTCCACGTGTACACTATTCAATAAGTAATAAAGTTTTTTTCTAGGAAATTGCGCGGATTTCTTTTTGGGAAGTTTTCTTGGACAGAACGAATCAAAAAACCAAGCTATTCCTATTCCCAGTTTTACAATGCCGACGGTTGGCGTACAAACCGTGAAACTGTCAAAAGAAGCGAAGGTATCTAGGGGTCATTATTGACTCCCAAACTCTCGTGGAAGAGAAATACGGAAGCAAGAACGAAGAAAGACCTCAATGCAATATACACCCGTTGAAAACTATTTGGCAAAAAATGGGGACATCATCCATTGGATGAACACTGCGATAGTCAGACCCATTATGAGGAGCGGTACTATGGTAAAAGGCTATGGACAAAATGGTTATGGGCAGAAAGATACACTTAAAAATGCTTACGAAACTGCAAAGAATGGCAGCACTCGGTACAACGGGAGCAAAAAGAAGCATAATGCAGGCGTCTAAGAGGTTATGCTGAATCTGCTGAAAATAGATTGGTTCATAACAGTCACCGCTGCATAGGGAGCTTGTTGCATTAATATTGATGGGTTTGTGATTTTGTAAAGCATCTTACATATTTATAAATATGAATTGTTTACCTGGCTGATTGTCAATGGTTTGTATTCTCGTTGGATTGACAACGTTTGTTATAAAAATAATAAGAACTGTGAAATCGTTTGTCAATGAAAGTTCTCCGTTTATTTTATTGAAACTCAATAAAAGTGATGCAAATTCAAAGGAGCTCTTAGACTGAGAGAATTCAAACTGTGGAAGGAAACCGATTTTGGACACTAGACAATACTTAAGGATACAGCCAAAATGATAGACCACCTCTTGGGGGTCTACATTTCTTGCCCGAAACATTCCTCAAGGCAACGGACTAGAGGCCAAATATTTTTTCGAGGATAGGATAAAGGTACTATGTCTTCAAGAGAAGATTGGGATAAAATCCCTATACATAGGGAAAATGAGATAGTGTGTTACTAAATTGCTCGTTAGAAAATGCTCTTTCGGAATATGCTAATGAGCCACACTCTTTCCATTTCAAAAAAATACAAAATAAGATCAAAACTAATTTTCCCAGATTCCTTGGAGCAAAATTAGGCATTTTAACTAATTCATGGCGCTCTAGATTAAAAACTAGAAATTAAAATAGTTTGGAGATGAAATGTCAAATAGTGACAATGAGGTATCATTTTAGTTGTAATGTAGTTTTGTATTGAAATAAGGGAAAATATACCTGTCGTCTCATTTAAAATAAGAAAGTTAGGGTCACTTCCGGTCAAACCGGAAGTGATAATAAATAATTGAATGCGTCAAATAATGCACAACCGGGTCATATAAACTTACACACCGAATTTCATTTGTTTATTTTTTGTGAACATAAAAAAGTTATAATGAGCGGGTTTTGGAAAAAACCCGGTAGAATAATATTAACCTAGAAATAATACCATGACATCTCTTCTACGGAGAGGCGTACTACTTAGGCCACTTTGTATTATGTACACTCGGTAAACTTGGCGTGACTGAAGATTGAAGCTGAGTTTGAGACAGGTCCAGAAGGGCGTTTCCCAATAAAGGTAATTTGCACCAGGAGGAGACTTAGCGAGAGGGACTTTTCCTGATTGAGGTACAATCAATCAATCAATCAATCAAAATATACTTTATTGTCGGAAAATAAATTTCATTGACAAAGCATGATCTTAAATAATGTGCAAGTAATTAAAAATTATCGGGTTATAAAAAAAAGAGGTACATCAATAAAATAAAAAATAAACATAAACATAAATGTCAAAGCATAATCCTAAGCAACACATGTACAATCTTTACTACATCAAACTATAGAGTCATATAAAAGGTACAGCCAATACAGAAAAAACATAAAGGTTGCGGTCAGAACAAAACAAAACAATGAAACAAACAAAATTAAAATTTTTCATTTAAAAATTCATTAATATGATAGTAGGCTTTTCCATGTAAAAATGTTTTGAGCTCTAGTCTAAACTTTTTAAAACCACCTATCTGCCTTAAGTTAACAGGCAGATGATTAAAAATTTGCCTACTTTTATAAATTAGTGAATTTTGCGTCAATGCAGTCTTGGGTATAGGAAGCTGAATTTTAAGAAGTTGCCTAGTTGGATAAGTTCTTGGATATTCTAACTTATCATAATGTTTTTTATGCATAAGGCAAGCAGTTTCCATGATAAATATACAGCATACTGTAAGTATTTTATGTTTTAAAAATAGTGGCTTGCAATGCTCCCAATATCCAACCCCACACAAATAGCGCACTGCTCTCTTTTGAATGACAAAAACAGAATCAAACAATTTATTAGAACAGTTACCCCAAAATGCAATGCCATACCTGATATGAGATTCAACCAACGAGAAATAAACCAACTTAGCAGTATTCAAACCAAGTTCATTTGACGCTATTCTTACAGCATAGCAACCACTTGCCAATCGTTTGTTTAGATTTGTAACGTGCTCATTAAACTTAAGTTGAGTATCAACATGAATACCAAGAAATTTACAGCTAGTTTTATTTTCAATTGTGTGTGTCTAATAATAAATCATCAAAAAAAAATTTAAATCTCAATATGTTGGTTTTCTTAGAGTTAAAACAAAGCAAGTTAGAGTCACACCAGCTCTTTACAAGATTTAGATCTTCAGAAATAATCTTTTTCAACTCTTCAATATTTTTTCCGTTCCAGGACAGAGTAATGTCATCAGCGAATGATGTTATTTTAGCTCTAATGGGGAGGTGATTAATATCATTTAAATAAAGTAAAAACAATATTGGTCCCAACACAGATCCTTGTGGAACACCATTGGTCACAGCCAAGTTTGATGACTGAGTATCACCAATCTTAACAAATTGTTCTCTTCCCGAGAAATAAGATTCAAACCATGAGTATGAGATTCCTCCGAAGCCATAAATTTCTAGTTTTTTAAGCATTATTTTATTATTTACGCAATCAAAGGCTTTAGAGAAATCACAAAACACAACGGCGACAAGCTCACTTTCATTAAGACTGACGAATACCTGTTCCAAAAGATTAAACATTGCATCATGGGTGCCCTTTAATGGTTGGAATCCAAATTGAGTGTCACTTATTATGTCGTGTTTTGAAAAATATTTTAACATTCTTTCTTTAACTAACTTTTCAACTATTTTTGACAACGTCGAGAGAAGTGATATTGGTCGATAATTACATGGGTTGTCCAATTCGCCACCCTTATAAAGAGGCAACACAATAGCTTTTTTCAGGCAGTCTGGAAATACTCCTGTTAAAAATGAAATATTAATACATTCAGACCAGACATATAATGCATTATCAGGCAAGTTTCTGAGCAAATTTATTGAAACATTATCGTGCCCACTGGATTTATTGTTTTTTATTCCTCTTAACATTTCATTAAGTTCTAATACGTTTGTAGTTTCCAGTACAAATGTGTCATTTATTTTAACATCCAATAAATAAGAACCAGGATCCACATTACTTTTCAAGTTTTGTTGTAAAGTATCAGCAACACTACAGTAGAAGTTGTTGAGAATATTGGGATCTAATTTAACATCTGTTTGAAGAACTGAGTTTTTACCAGTTAACTGATTAATTATTTTCCAGTTTTCTTTGCTGGCATTTTTGGAGGAGTTTATTCTATTCTGATAAAACTTTTCCTTAGCTGCTTTTAAAACACGTTTGTAAATTTTTCTATATCTGCAGAAATAACTTATGAACTGAGGACAATCAGTAAATTTGCGAATATTTTGTAACGAACGCATGTTTTTTTATGAAACTTTAATAGCGGGAGTAATCCAAAGTTTACTTTTCCTTTGCTTAATTTTTTGTAATGGAAAAGATTTTAAAAATGCATCAGTTACTAATTTTTGGTATTCGTTTAGTGGTGATTGACAATTCAAAACTGCTGGCCAATTTAATTCCTTGCAAATATCTTTAAATTTTTTATAATTGTTGCTGCTAAGTAGTCTACCAACTTTATATTTTGGTGGTTTATTTATCGCAAGTTGAAATTTTGCTAAAACTGCCTCGTGATCCGAAATGCCTACAGGAATTACACTACAGCTAACAAACATTTGCTTTAAGACAAAATTTGAACACAGATAATCGATTTTGGTTTGAGAATGAACAGTTATTCTAGTAGGTTCGTTAACATACATCTCTAGGTCAAATGATAAAAACAAGTTAGACAGAATTTGCTGTGCCTCTGATCTGTCATCATCAAAATTTATATTAAGGTCTCCCCCTAGTATCAAACCTGCCTTGGGTGGCAGTTTTGATAAAAGAATTTCCAGATTTTCAAAGTATTGCTTTAAGTTTGAATAATAGGGGGGCCTGTATATACACAAAATATATAAATTATTTTTTTTGTTATATAACAAGGAGAATTCAAAAACATTTTCAATTAAAAGCGTATTAAACTTTGTTATGGGGCTAACATCAAAAGATTGTAAAAATGTCTTATTGACAAGAATAGCAGTTCCACCATGAGTTTTACTATTTCTACAATAGAGAGACACCAGAGTATAATTTTCAATACAAAATGGTTCATTTTCTGCTAGCCAATGCTCAGTTATAAGTAAGAAAGCTGGAAAATTGTTATCTTCCAACAGCAGATATAAATCATCAAGTTTGTTCCTTAGCGATTGTATATTAATTAGAAATACGGAGACGGCGGCGTTATTATTTTTTATGTTTTATGCCGCGCTTGCGCAGTTTGTGGAAGAGGTTGGTCTAAAAAATTTA